AGGGTATTTCAGACTGCAGTTTCCTGCCTACACAATGTGGTACAGGTTGAACTTCTCTAGTCCGACACTTTCTGGTCTGGCAGCATTTATGGTCCAGCATATTTTTAGCCCGATATCCACTTACCATAGTTGTGGCCAAGTTTCCTGCAATCCCATAAAGTTTGTTTACAGCCACCAGTCCTGGCTCTCAGTGTTATTTAGCTCGAACAAATCCCCATCTGCATTTTTCTTTCCCTCCAGAAATTGCCGCCCATCAACTCCCTCTCCTAACTCCAAAAGGAGTTCTTATAAGAGTCAGTCTTTCAAACTTGACAAAAGGCTTTCCCCTTATGGTTAAGCTCATAACAGACATTGCTCAGAACCAGAATCCTGCCAGCCCCCCATTAATAATCCAGACTTTTAAAAAAATACAGCTTGGGTCTCTGATCCTGAGACACTCGTAAACAGATAACCAGTGGACAATGGCTCATTCCTCATGGCCATAGCATCAAAAGACTGGTTTTTTGCATAATCAAAGGTGGGTGATTTGGATCCAACCTCATAGTCCCAGGAAACCCACATAACCTTGTCCCAAAAGGCCACTCTTGTCTGTTCAATATAGTCCTCTGAAGTTTAAAACACTTCCCAGGGTTCATATTACACCATCCCACCTGGAAAGATAACATATAATTACGGCACTACCAAATTCATGGTCAATTTTGGTCAATTTAATGATCAAAACATTTTAAAAATATTAAATATTTAAATCTGAAATTTCACAGTATTGTAACAGTAGGGGGTCCGCCCCCCCCCAAAATGGTGGGTGGGCCCCTGCAATGTTAATGGCGGGAGGTTACTGCTACCTTTCCTTCTGCACAGGTGCTGGCCATGGTGCTACCTTTAGAGCTAGACAGAGCTGCTGCCAGTATTGCCACCTTTCCTTCTGTGCTGCTCCTTGCAGAGCCAGGCCCTCAGTTAGCAGCCACCATTCTCTGGTCACCCAGCACTGCAGGCAGCAATGAAAAAGGAAGGGTGGCAATACCATCTCATGCCCGATGTACAATACTGTCCCACAATATCACCTAACCTTTGAATTAATACAAGACTCCAAAGATACTTGTTCCTGCTGCTCCTAGATAGAGGACCAACCCCTAGAACTATGTGCGCTACCCCTGCTCCAAGCACTGGCTCTGCAGCTGCCATTGGCTGGGAACCATGGCCAGTGGGAGCTGTGAAGGCGGCACCTGCAGGTGGAGGCAGCGTGAAGCCACCTAGCTGCCCCACTGTCTAGAACTGGCAGAGCCCTGTCCTTCCTTGAAGGGAGCTGTCCAAGGTGAGTGCCGCTGGGATCCAGCATCCCTAACCCTCATCATTGGCTCCATCCTGGAATCCCCGCCCTTCCTCCATATACGCACTTAGACTGGTCCAAAAAACAAAACAAAAAACAAAACAAAAATTACCGTACTTAATTCAGTCTTGCCCACAATTTTAGCATCCAAAATCTAATGAGAGATTAAGTGCCCCCATTCTGCTTTATTATAAAAGGGAGAATTTGCTCCCAATACTTTATACTTTAAAAGGCTGGAATTCTGGTTTTCAAATAGCATAAAATACTAATGTTTTGTTTTAATAACTGTCAAAGATAGAGGCCACTAAAAAGCACAAAAGAATTAAAGCAGGGGAAAAAAGCAGGTCAACAAGGTCAGAATTATGTGATTTTTAAGGTTCAACACTTCATGACTAAAAACATGCAACTGGAAACATGCTTTATATAATCAGACAACCTGATCATTTTTGGTCTGATACTTCACAAATTATGTAGAAACTAATACCTTGGGATCACAGATTATTAGTATTTTCAGGGAAATAGATCTTGAATTGTACACCGACAAATCCAGACCTCATTTTATGGTTCATTGCTGTGGAAGGGGTAGAAAAGATGCCCAAATGAAAAGAAAAACTGGGAATGAATTTCTCTTATACAGTACTTGGATTTAAGAGAATGGAGATTATCAGGTGTTACCTTCTCCTCCTCTGTCAAATTAGTATCTTAGCAGGGAATTACTTCCTTGATAATTAGTACGCTTTTAAAATGATATTTTCACATACACCCACTGAAAAGCAACATTGGAGAAAGTTTCCACGCATAGCTGGAAAATCATAACCACTGGAAGTGAGGACTCTATAGGAGAATAAAGCATGTTCAAAAGTTATTTTATTTGTTCGTAAGGTCTGTGCATTACAACAAGCAAATGTTTAGTTGCTATAGACAAAAGCTCATTGTACTTTTGGAAGATCAACAAAATATTAGCTCCAGAGATGGAGAGTAACTAGAAAGCCCACATATACACGTACACTGCAGTTGTTTTACCGCTGGAAGTTAACATTTATAGATTACAGATCCTTGAGATCTTTCTGGATGCTCCACAGAGTATCCGCACTCTTCCGGAGTTGAGCCACCTCCTCATCTTTCAGCTTTTGGTTGATTACACTTGTCAATCCAGAGGCACTTAATACACAAGGAAGGCTCAAGAAGACTTCATTTTCAATGCCATACATGCCCTGTCACAAACAGAGAACACTAAAAATCAATATCTGCTTTCAGTTACATTGGTGAAAACCCATTTACCTCACAGTTATTTTGGAATTGTACTCATGTGACCAATTATAGAATCTGCTTTTAGGCTGCATATATATCTGATCAGAAAAGCTTACATAAAATGATTG